CCTTCAAACAAATGTGCACAATAAAAAAGACAGAAACACAAAAGTAAAGATACAAAGACTTTAGTGCAAATTTGATTATTTTTATTTTTTGCCAGCCAGTTTTTGCCATGTCATCCACAAAACATCCACAAAACTACATCAGCAGGTTACTATCATAAAGCATGAGCTCCACTTATTGAGTCAATCTGGCGGCAGCATACACAACATGTGTCTCCAGCTCTGTCTGTGCCACAGACCTGCAGCTGCTTTTGACCTTCATCTGTATATTCATCCCCGTGTACTTCAGATTTTCTGAGCTCACTTTCTGAAAATCAAATAGTTACACAGCTGAGTTTACAACACATATGTAAAATGTTTATTGACTTGTGGTTTGTACCAAAAAAATATTGTGCATCAAATGGGATTTTTTCATTTTAATTCCCTAATAATACCTTATCTATACCAGCTGGGCAGCACAGTATTAAACAAAATTAAATTAAGAATCCAAGTTAAGTTAAAATATTATCATATCCAGTGAACTAAAAGAAATGAGGAGAATTTTAATGACATAAGTCCTACTGATGTTACAGTACTAAAATGTTTCCCTGCTGTGAGTAATAACATAAAGCCTGATTCAGATAATATTTGGGATATTTGTTTTCAACTCATAACATTAAGCTTATAAATTCTAATTTAAGACAATTTAAGACAATTTTTTACCTTGTTTCTCTCTGGTTTAGGTTCTGCAGATAAGGAGCAAATATAAACATGTGATTAGCTCTTTAATACCACCATACTTTGCTTTGAATTTCAAATCAACTTATAAGAGGAGGCACAACAATACAGCAATTTTTACCAGTTTGAAGGTTCAGGATTTTTAGAACCAGAACAATGACCACCACAGCGAATAAACCAGTCACACCACTCAGGACGATGCTCATCACATGTGTATTACCAGGCTCTTCTGTAAAAGAGATTATAATAGAACATCACTCTAATTCAATCTGTTTGATTTACACGTAATATTAATAATAATAATGATCACAGTTAAAAACAAAATGTTAAGAGTCAGAAAAGTAATTTTGCTTTCAGTCTTAAAATCCTCCCCTTCATTGGTTTCACCGCCTGTAAAGAAACATGGTTATTATAATATTTTGTGATTTCCTTTATGTCTGTGAGCTGATTTTGGATTACATATCAACTAAACTGAAAGAGAAAATTTCTCCCTACAAGCTTACCTTGAATTCTTAACTCGACTGCATTGGAAATGACCGTATGCTTATTCACGTAAAATCCACAGAAATACAGCCCGACATCAGATAAATCCACTTGTGTGATTTTAAGAAACACAGAGGTGTTGTTGGAACTCATATTGAATTTTCCATTTCGAAATCCATCACAGAAAGAAGCTTTGCCCTGAGATCCATACATAGCAGCAATACAGCTGGGCTTAGTTCTGTTGATAACCTTGAACCAGTCTGTCTGTGATGGATGACTCGAAATGTTGGAGCACTTCAACGTGACTTCTTCATCAAGTTGGACCTCCACAGTCTGAAACTCAAAACCTGAAACAGAGATCCAGCCTGTAATGACAGAACATAATGTTTATGTCTGAGCCTACAGTGTTACAGGACAACAACATCAACTACATCTGTTTAATGACTTTACTTATTCCATTATTTGAAAGTACTGTGGTGCCAGTACTTACTGAGGCTGGAGAGAAATAAAGCTGTGCTCAAGACGAAGCTCCTCATCATGCGTTTAATCCTGTAACTGCATGGATATGTTGTACAACACAACTCATATAAAGGGGTTCAGAGGGGCGGAGTGTATTTTTCTTTTTTTTATCTTTCCAGTGATCTGCCTATACAATGTAATGCTTTTGCATACATTTCTGTTTATAAATCCAGTTACAAAGTTTCCAAATGTTACCAAAGTGTGGTAGAAATTCATAAAAAGTAACTCAGAAACTCCCACAGTCCTCTTCTCGGCCCTAAAATGGTTTACATTTAAAACGAAACAAGAATGTGGTACTTTGGCATCATAGTGTTCCCATTTTGCTGTTGAATTTCAGCTTCACTGAAAATGCGTTGGAACAGACATTTATGAGAGATGTCCTGAAACATGTCAGAAGTTCTTATTTGCAGTGTGAGCTAAGTATTTATTCACTCAGTCAGAGGCAAAACCACGTGCTTTGTTTGTGGAGAACAGATTGCTGTATTTAAAGTGGACATGAAACACCACATTTATTAAGGCTATTTTACACCATAGAGCCCTACTCTCAAAAAATGTCATAGATGTAACACTGTCTGTGCAGCTGGATTTAAGAAATAAGTGCTTAAAGTTAAAGTTTTCAAAACATGTTTAGTTGGTTGGTTGCAGTCAATAGACTTACTTTATTTATGTTAGCTAACTAATAATAGAACCAATAACTCGACGCCCCTAAAACTAAGGATATACATTAAGGATATACTGTCCACTTTCACTCTCTGTCTTATTTGGAGGTTCTTCATTGTTTGGCTAGCTGCACTGAGACAGAAAAACCTAACTGTTAGCTGTACTGTTCGGGTTTGTAAAACACTTTATAACACAATGTCTTTTCAGCTACTCCAAGCCGCTCTGCTCTTTGCTTTTGCTCTGGCTCGAGCTCTTTTCTAATCATCCACTCTCTCTGTCCTCCCTGAACTAGGGCTGGGTAGCGTCACTGATTTCTACAACTGATTAAATTCTGTTTCAAAAGATCCCTATTCAATTCAATTCGATTCCATCTTGACTCAGGAAGTCAGAAATATTATAATTCTGATCATTTATATTGGATATGTACTGTCAAAAGAACCCTCTAAACCTTGTAAATTAAAAAAAATACTCCTGTCACGGACCCGGCTCTGGGGACTCGGGGTCCGTGGGCAGTGGGGACTAGGACTGTTGTTATTGTTGTTATTATTATTATTATTGTTATTATCGTTATTATTATTATTTGGTGTGTTGTCTGCACTGCCCCTGTGCACATCTGTATGTAGGCAGGTGGCTGTGTTGCCTTTCTTCTGTGGCCAAGTTACAGGCACCTTCAGCCCTGGGGGCGTGGCCTGACTTGAGGGCTGGCCACACCCGAAGTCCTTGCTGCACACCTGCTCCTCATCTGGGCTCGTCGGGGGAGCTATTTAGATGAGCGATGGAGCTTCCACCGATGCTGGATTATTGCGTTTGACTACACGTCAGTCTTCGAGCATAGTCAAGTGTTAGTGTATGCCCGCTGGGATACAGTGTGTAACAGCTGCCTCTATTGTTTTCCCCTCAGGAGGAGTGTGGGACGAGAAGGAGCAGTGAGCACGGGGAGGGCAGGGACACTGGGGCAGAGAGCACTACACGGGGACTTTTGGGAAGAAGACACTACACGGGAGTCTGGGAAACTGGGGATTTATTGTTGTTTACTTCACCACCTTGTAAATAAACACTGTTGCACTGAAGAGTCCGGCGTTTGGGTCCTATTTCCCCATCTCCCCATGGTCTGCCAGCCAGACCGTGACAACTCCAAATTATTTGACTATTTCTCTGCAATCACAAAGTCAATGTAAACTATTTAGGTATAAAAAAACTGACACTTGTGAGACTTCATCAGATGTTTTTGTGTCATGGTAATTCAAATATGAAGGAATTTTTCCTGGCCTGGCTTTTTATAGCAGATCAAAAAACAGAAGAAAACCATGAATCAACATATGAACATTACCTGATGCTGATGTGAAGTAAAGTTACAGAGGTTTTATTAGAGACACAGCCAAGTGTTTTGCAATTTGGTATAAGTTTAAATTTCTTCAGTGTTGAACAGCAGAAATAAGGATTTCTTGTTGGAGATCATTTTTTGAAAAAAATAAAAATAAAAACCGCGGCCGACAGCACTGAACACAGCAGTAGACTGGTGCTTAGTAAGTGAGTGAATAATGCACAAAATAGACATTTTTAATGGGAAACTGGTCTTGAAGTACACTGAGAAGGAAGTGTGATTTTATCATGGTGGAAGCAAACAGCAAAAGTAAGAGCGAATTCAAGCATAGTTTTGATCTTCTTTAGCCGCTGGTTGAGTGAATTTTGGTCGGAGAGTGACGAAACCTGCAGTTTCAGAACCTGTAAGATTTCAGTTTTCAGCACCCGATAGTTTATATATATA